TCCGAGAGCCGGGCAGCGGGGAAAGGGGCCGTGTCCCTGCCTCGGGGGATTCTGTCCCGGGGGTGTCCCATTGCGGGGGTCTGGGCAGAGCCCATCTGCACAATGATGGGATGCCCGGTGCTGCTCCCAGCACCCCAAACCCAGCTTGGGGCTGTGGTGGGGCCGCAGAGGGGGTCGGAGGGAGCCGCTCTCACTTCCCGTCCCATGGCAGGGACAGAGACTGGGGTCTCCTCCCTCATCCATCTCGGGGTCTCAGTCCTTGTGGAAGCACCTCCTGAGGGTTTGGGGCTGCAGCAGGGCCGGCACCCCTCGGTGCTGCTCCAGCAGAAAGGGGCTTTGCAGCGAGCAGGTGGATTGCCCCTGGATCCGTCCCTCATCCCTCCATCCTGTTCTCCCGGCAGAAAGGGCCAGACCGGTGTCACCCTGGCACCGTGGGTGTCACAGAGCCTCGGGCTGGGCTGTGCTGCTGGACAGAGAGTGGTGCCCATGGGTGGGCGACACAGGGACACTGCCATGACTCGAGGTGACCCACAGCAGTTCCCTCGGCTCAAGGAGAAAAGGGGGTGTCCCCATCCCGGTGTCAGGGTGGTGTCAGCCGGGCCAGGCTGAGAATGGGCAGCTCAGCTCACCCCTGGGTGCTTCGCTGTTGGGATTTGAGACCCCCAGGATGGGGAGGATTCCCGAGTGGGGGCTGACCCTGGGCACCCCCATCCCCTGCCCAGGTCTGGCTCCAGTGATCCCTACTGCGTGGTCAAGGTGGACAACGAGATGGTGGCCAGGTACAGGGACACTGTCCCACACTGGGAGGGGACACATAGGACTGGGGGATCCTCCCTTGGGGGGCCAGCCACCTCTGCCATCCCGACAGGACAGCCACGGTGTGGAAGAGCCTGAATCCTTTTTGGGGTGAGGAAATCACGCTGCTTCTGCCCCCTGGATTCCACAGCCTCGCCATCTACGTGCTGGATGAAGACACCATTGGGTAGGGGGGCAGCACGGGCAGGGTGGGCACACACAGTGTCCTGCTGTGTCTGTTCCCTCACAGGCAGGACGATGTCATT